TTCAAAAAAAAAAAAAAATTAAATCCGTTAAAAATTCTGATAAAATCTTAAAAATGCCGATTATAGCCGTTATATTGGGGTCTATACGAGGACGTGGACCTGCATAGGCAACTTTTGCCATTAGCTATTCAAAAGCGAAACTTGAAAAAAATCTGTTTATAATGTAGCTAAAATCATCAAAATTCCGAATATAAGGAGGTACCATGGGAGTTATAAAATGTGGACCTGCATAGACAATTTCCTGTCTTAGGCGTAGTATCCCTTTGGAACTTCAAGTACCAAATTTGAAACAATTCCGGTGAAAAATGTCACTAAAATCATCAAAATATCGAATATCGGGAGGTACAGTCATATGGGGGCTATACGAAGACGTAGACCTGCACAGACAATTTTCTGTCTTAGGCTGTAGTATCTACTACGAACTTCAAATACCAAATTTGAAACAATTCCGGTGAAAAATATCGCAAAAATCATCAAAATACCGAATATCGGGAGATACTCTTGTACGGGGGCTATACGAAGACGTGGACCTGCACAGACAATTTTCATTCTTAGGCTGAAGTATCCATTACGAACTTCAAATACCAAATTTGAAACAATTCCGATGAATAATGTCGCTAAAATCGTCAAAATACCGAATATCGGGAGGTACAGCCATATGGGGACTATAGGAAGACCTGGAGCTGCACAGACAATTTTTTGTCTTAGGCTGTGGTATCCATTACGAACTTTAAATACTACATTTGAAACAATTCCGGTGAATAATGTAGCTAAAAAATATCAAAATACCGAATATCGGGAGGTAAAGTCATATGGGGGCTATAGGAAGACCTGGAGCTGCACAGACAATTTTCTGTCTTAGGCTGTAGCATCCATTACGAACTTCAAATACCAAATTTGAAACAATTCCGATGAAAAACATCGCTAAGATCATCAAAATACCGAATATCGGAAGGTACCGCTATATGGGGGCTATACGAAGACGTGGACCTACACAGACAATTTTCTTTCTTAAGCTAAAGTATCCCTTTGGAACTTCAAATACCAAATTTGAAACAATTCCGGTGAATAATGTCGCTAAAATCATCAAAATACCGAATATCGGAGGTATTGTTATATGGGGGCTATACGAAGACGTAGACCTACTCAGATATTTTTTTGTCCAAGGCTGTAGTACCCATTACGAACTTCAAATACCAAATTTGAAACAATTCCGGCGAATAATGTCGCTAAAATCATCAAAATACCGAATATCGGGACATACCCCTGTATGGGGCTATACGAAGACGTGGACCTGCACAGTCAATTTCCTGTCTTAGGCTGTGGTATCCCTTTGGAACTTCAAATACCAAATTTGAAACAATTCCGGTAAATAATGTCACTTAAATCACCAAAATACCGAATATAAGGAAGTACTGATATATGGGGGCTATACCAAAACCTGGACCTAACTGGCTCATTTTCAATACCAAAAGTCCTGCAGACATAATATACATTTGAGTAAAATTTTATCAACCTACTTCAATTCGTTCGGAAGCTAGAGTGATTTCCACAGACGGATAAACGGACATCGCTTAATCGACATAGAATTTTATGCTGATCAAGAATATACAGATATACTTTGTGGGGTCTAAAATGTATATAAAAAATGGAATGACAAACTTAATATATATACCCTACATACTATGGTGGAGGGTAAAAAAACTCTCTGCCTTAATTTTATAAAAATTTATTATTTCTTTCATTCGTTTTTTTCGAATCTGCAAATTACCTTCAGGTTGATTTTGATGAGGATTTTCTCCTTAACGCTGTGTCTCGATATTTTCCTTATTATTGACCATTTAATCTCTTCCTGTTGGTTGCGGTGATAAAGCGGTTTCAAGGTAATGCAGTGCTTTCGTAGACGATCGCCATGAAGGGTTTGTTGATTGGATATGGGCAATAGTAAAGACCACAACCGCCACCAAAGCAGCATGGCATTGCCATTCAGATCTAGAGATAAGAAAAAATTCGATATCAGAGAACTCAGTTCTATTACAAAAAAAATACGCCTCAGAACGTAAAACAGAGCCAGCTTCGAATGGGTTTCAATGGAAATATTTAATCGCAACAACATCGATATGGAAATTTGGATAAAAAATTTTTTTCTCACGTATAAGTGAACATAGAAATAGCGGTGTTACCTGGTGTAGAAGAGTGTGTGTGTGAGAGAGAGAGAGAGAGAGAATTTCATTAAAGAGTAATCTGTTGTAGTGTGTGAAGATATGAATATGTTGTGAGCAGACCTTTGAGGTCATTAGGATTAAATCATATAGGATTTCTCCGTTGCCACATGTGGTGTGTTGGGGTTAGATTACGGGAAGTCTCTTTTTCTCCCTATCTCTCTCTCTCTCTCTCTCTTACATTTTATACCAGCGTAGTTTTTGCACATTGTATATCTCCCGATATTCGGTATTTTGATGATTTTAGGGACATGTTTCACCAGAATTGTTTCACATTTGGTATTTGATGTTCGTAATGGATGCTACAGCCTATGACACGAGATTGTCTGTGCAGGTCCACGTCTTCGTAGAGCTCCCATATAACGGTACCTCCCGATATTCGGTATTTTTATGAGTTGAGTGACATATTTCACCGGAATTCTTTCAATTTTGGTATTTGATGTTCGTAGTGGATACTTTAGCCTATGACAGAAAATTGTCTGTGCAGGTCCACGTATAGCCTACATATAACGGTAGCTCCCGATATTCGGTATTCTCATGATTTTAGCGACATTATTCACCGAAATTGTTTAAAATTTGGTATTTGAAGTTCGAAATGGATACTACAGCCAAAGACAGAAAATTGTCTGTGCAGGTCCACGTCTTCGTATAGCTCCCATATGTCCCGATATTCGGTATTTTGGTGATTTTAGCGACATTATTCACCGGAATTGTCTCAAATTTGATATTTCAAGTTCGTAATGGATACTACAACCTAAGACAGAAACTTGTCTGCGCTGGTCCACGTCTTCGTATAGCCCCCATACAGCGGTTATTTCCGATATTCGGTATTTTGATGATTTTAGGGACATTATTCACCGGAAATGTTTCAAATTTGGTATTTGAAGTTCGTAATGGGTACTACAGCCTAAGACAAAAAAATTGTCTGTGCAGGTCCACGTCTTCTTATCGCCCCCATATAAGGGTAGCTCCCGATATTCGGTATTTTTATGATTTTAGGGGCATTTTTCACCAGAATTGTTTCAAATTTGATATTTGAAGTTCGTAATGGATACTACACCCTATGACAGAAACTTGTCTGTGTTGGTCCACGCCTTCGTATAACACTCATATAACTGTATCTCCCTATATTCGGTATTTTTATGATTTTGGCGACATTATTCACCGGAATTGTTTCAAATTTGGTATTTTATGTTCGTAATGGATACTTCAGCCAAAGACAGAAAATTGTCTGTGCAGATCCACGTCGTCGTATAGCCCCCATACAAGGGTACCTCCCGATATTCGGTATTTTGGTGATTTTAGCGACATTATTCACCGGAATTATTTCAAATTTCGAATTTGAGGTTCGTAATGGATACTGCAGCCTATGACAGAAACTTGTCTATGCAGATCCACGTCTTCGTGAAGCCCCCATATGACGGTACCTCCCGATATTCGGTATTTTAATGATTTTAGGGACATTATTCACCGGAATTGTTTCAAATTTGATATTTGAAGTTCGAAATGGATACTACAGCCAAAGACAGAAAATTGTCTGTACAGGTCCACGTCTTCGTAGAGCTCCCATATAACGGTACCTCCCGATATTCGGTATTTTTATGATTTTAGGGACATTATTCACCGGAATTGTTTCAAATTTGATATTTGAAGTTCGTAATGGATACTTCAGCCTAAGACAGAAAATTGTCTATGCAGGTCCACGTCTTCGTAGAGCTCCCATATAACGGTACCTCCGGATATTCGGTATTTTGATGATTTAAGCGACATAATTCACCGGAATTATTTCAAATTTTGTATTTGAAGGTCGTAATGGATACCACAGCTTATGCCAGAAAATTGTCTGCACAATTTAACGTCTTCGTAGAGCTCCCATATAACGGTACCTCCCGATATTCGGTATTTTGATGATTTTAGGGACATTATTCATCGGAATTGTTTCAAATTTCGTATTTGAGGTTCTTACTACAATCTATGACAGAAAATTGTCTATGCAGATCGACGTTGTCGTATAGCCCCCATACAACGGTAGCTCCCTCCATTCGGTATTTTGATGATATTAGCGGCATTATTCACAGGGCTTGTTTCGAATTTCGTATTTGAAGTTCGGAATCGTTACTATAGCCCATGACAGAAAATTACTTATCCCGCACCACGTCTTCGTGTAGCCCCCATATAAAGGTTTTTATTTGAGCTGTTTCAAATTCCTTCCGAATGGAGTAGGTTATTCAAAGTTCGGCCGGGCCGGGCTTTTTTATTTGGTTTTTTTTAATATCAACATTAAAATCCATATATAGAAACCTGCAGGGTTTTTCCCAAATTGTCATTGGAAATTGTTCCAATATTATATCAGTCCTACCTCAATACTCCTCGGCTGGTTTTGGTTTCTGATGAATAAATTGTATTTTAATATAAAATTAAATATTTTAATTACGTTCTACCAATCCTAAGAATATTTAAAATGGCCAATTAAAAAAAAATAAGACACACACATTTTATAATCGGTAATTGTGATAATTTGCTGCGATTCTAATTAGGTCAGTGAAAATGTGACAGGAACCAGATAATTTCTCGCCCCTTAGCGCCCTTTTATTTTCCAATAATTTAATATAAAAACAAATGTTTCGAAACGCACAGATTTCAGTTAATATAACCGTGATAAGAAGATACCATGTGGTGAAGGAGGAGATTTTGAATTGAAAACAAAAAATATTTAAATTAAATAAATAAATAAAAAATAAATTTGAAAATAAATCAATAGAAAGTGGAAAAATATGTTATATATAATGATATTGTTGGCATTATTAGCCATTTTGGCCTACAATGAAATAAAAACTGCCAAGATACGAAAACAAGTTAAACACACGGCCGGTGAACCGACCCTGCCAATTTTAGGCAATCTCCATCAATTGGGCCGGAAACCAACTGGTAAAAAGGAATTATCGAAAATTACCGTTTTTTTTGCAAAAAATAATAATATTTTTGAAAGACCTTGTGAAAAATATTTTTAAAAAAATCCATATATGCCCTGTTCCGCCCTTTGCAGTTTTACAGTTTTTCGCGATATCATAAAGAAAAAATTCCGTTCAGACTTGGCACATCTCAATATTTCCCTAAACACAAGACCTATTTTAAAGATGTAAGATCGGACCATACCTTCTGGTACCTCCCCCACAAAGATTCAAAGTTGTGTTAAAAAGATCCCCCACATGGGGTTCAAGAAAGAAAGCGCAATAAGCATCCAACTCCCCTCAAATTTCACACATCCAAATATTTTTGCGAACGCAAAATCTGATGTGAAGATGTGGAAGCTTATTGGGCTGGAGTTAAGATGGATTAGCTCAACTGAAGCTAAATATATTGCCATATCAGGAACTGCTGGAAGTTTGTCGGTGTTTTTTTTTTTTTTTTTTTTTTTTTTGTAGATTTATCTTGCATGGCCAAGTAAACAAAATATAAATATTAAAAAAAATAAATATTAAAAGAAATCTACCTTTATTTCGTCGTTTGCAAAATATTTGAATAAAACTTTATTTCTCTCCTTGACGAAATATTTTGATAAAATCCATTGTTTGAACCTCAAAAAAAAATGAAATCTTTAAAAAAAATATGTGTTTTGAAAAAAAATGTGGTTTAAAAAAATATACAATTTTTTGTTTTTTATTTTCTTATATTTTTAAATGTTTTATATATTTTCTTATATTTTTATTAATTTTCTTATATATTTAAATATTTTATATATTTATATATATTTTATATTTAAAATATTTTTATATATTATCATATATTTTTTAATTTCATATATTTTATATATATTCTTATATCTTATATATTTTTATATATGTTAGACATTTTTTATATATTTTTAAATATTTTATATATTTATGTGTATTTTATATTTCATATATTTTTTAATTTCATATATTTTCTTATATTTTATATATTTTCATGTATTTTATATATATTCTTATATTTTATATATTTTAGACATTTTCTTATATTATTAAATATTTTATATATTTTCTTATATTTTTATATATTTTTAAATATTTTTTATATTTATATATATTTCATATATTTCTATATATTATCATATATTTTTAATTTCATATATTTTCTTATATTTTATATTTTTTCATATATTATCTTATATTTTTATATATTTTTAAATTTCACATATTTTTTTATATTTTTAAATATTTTATATATTTATATAAATTTTATATTTCATATATTTATATATAATATCATATATATTTTAATTTCATATATTTTCTTATATTCTAATATATTTTAGACATTTTCTTAAATTTTTACATATTTTCTTATATATTTATATATTTTTAAATATTTTATGTATTTATATATATTTTATATTTCATATATTTTCTTATATTTCATATATTTTAGACATTTTCTCATATTATTATTTTATATATTTTCTTATATTTGTATATATTTTAATATATTTTATATATTTTTATGTTTGTTTAAATTCATATATTTTTATATATTTTTTATTTTATATATTTTCTTATATTTTTATTATATATTATATTTTTAATATATTTTATATATATTTATATTTTGTTTAATTTCATATACTTTTATATATTTTATATATTTTCTTATATTCTTATATAGTTTTTAATATTTTATATATTTATATATATTTTATATATTTTCATATATTTTTATATATTTTATATATATTTATATTTTGTTTAATTTCATATACTTTTATATATTTTCTTATATTCTTATATTTTTTAAATATTTTATATATATAATTATTTTAGATATTTCATATATTTTATATATTTTTATATTTTGTTTAATTTCATATACTTTTATATTTTTTATATATTTTCTTATATTGTTATTTATTTTCTTATATTCTTAAATATTTATATATTATACATTTTTTATAAATTTTATATTCTTATATTTATTATGTATTTTTATATTTTTCTTATATATTTATATATTTTATGTATTTTTATATATATTTTTTAAAAATTATTGTTATTAAAATGCTACAATAATTGTGTGTCGGCTAATAGGCCATTACAAAGATGCAAAAATAATTACTAATATTAACTTTTCAAAATTGCCTTGTTAACTAAATAATTGATGCCTTAAGTGACCCGTCTATAGGTTAATATTTAATTCTGATATTCTTGTTTTTTTCCCTTTCAGTTACCACAAATTATCTCTTTGATTTATTTTACAAATACAACTTTGGAAATCTCTGCATTTGGTTGGGTTATCATCTGCAGTATTTGGTCGTGGATACCAAGGATGTGGAGGTGGGTAATTTCGTTAACATTTTTTTTTTTTTTTTTTGAAGAAATTGTTAATTTTCATATCCTTTTTTAGTTCATTTTATCCACCAACCCATTGGTCAACAAATCGGACATCTATAAACTCCTCCACCCTTGGTTGGGTGAGGGTTTGATCACCAGCTCGGGCGCCAAATGGCAAAAGCATCGCAAAATGATTACCCCCTCTTTTAATTTCAATATTCTGAATAGCATTCAGGATGTAATGAAGACGAATTCCGAGAAATTCATTGGGAAATTGAGGGAGATTTCTCGGGGTGACAACATTTTTGATCTTCAGGAGGTGGTTAATAATTTGACCTTGGATGTGATATGTGGTGAGTCAGAGGCTATTCAAACGGAGAGATATTTTTTGGGATTTTTTATTTTCCTGTAAATATTTTAGAAACCGCCATGGGTGTGAGCATTAACGCTTTGGATAACCCCCATTCGGATTTTGTCTTGGCTGTGAAGTTGTAAGTTGAGGATCTTATAAAAACAATTGTTAAATAGAAAAAATAATTTTGAAAAATTAAAAAAAAAAATGGAAAAAATATTTTTAGAAGAATAAGATTTGTTTTTTGGTCCTTGAAGATATTTTTTTATGAAAATAATTTTTGGGATTATTGAAAATTTTTAAAGAATCGAAGAGAATATTTATTTTTGAGAAATATATTTTTTGGTTTTTTTAGTGTTTAATTAAATAATTTTGAAAATCATAGATTTTCATTCTTAAATAGAAAAACATATTTTTAAAAATTAAAAAAAAAAAAAAAAAAACATTTCATAAAACACTGATTTTTTGTTTTTTGGTCCTTGAAAATATTTTTTTTTTTAAAAATCCTTTTTGGGATAATTTTAAAATTTTTTTTGGCACAAAGATTCTTAAAACTAAAAGTATTTTGACAATTTTTTTAAAAATTGAAGATTTTTTTTAATTAGAATTTTTGCTTGATCCTTATAAATAATTTTTTTATGAAAAACCTTTTTGAGAAAAAAATTTAAATATATTTTATTTTAGTTTTAATTAATTAATTTTGAAAATCATAGATTTTCATTCTTAAATAGAAAAGAATATTTTGAAAAATTAAAAAAAAACATGAAGAGAATATTTTTATAAAAAATTATGATTTTTTTGTTCTCTGGTCCATGAAGATATTTTTTTATAAATATCCCTTTGAGATAATTTTTGATTTTTTTTTGCTCAAACATTCTTGAATACAAAAAATATTTTGAAAATTTTTAAAAAATTGAAAAGAATATATTTTTAAGAATTAGAATTTTTGGTTGGAAATATTTTTTTATGAAAATTATTTTTGAAATAATTATTGAAATATTTTTTTAAGTTTTTCGCACTTTAAAAATTAATTTTGAAAATCCCAGATTTTCCTAGATTTTGATCATTGAAAAATTATTTAAAAAAACCTACATCCCTGGAATTGTTATACCCTCAGCCATATGGCTACAGAGGGTATTAATAAATTCGTAGCTTGCCCTTGCCATGTCACTGTTTGCCCACCTTATCCTCCACCTATCTACCAGATCAGAAGAACTAAGTCACTCTTCATCCTCAGCCAGCTACAAAACTAGCTTCAGCTCTTCAACTTTGCCAATCCGAATATTTATATCCGTGATAGGCTGGGTGTAAAAATGGCCAACATCGGCCCAGTCCATCAAGTACCTCCCCCACAAAGGGTCAAAATTTGGAATAATTATAACTTTTATAAAAAACGAGTTAAGAGCCCGACTGTCTTCAAATTTTGCACATCATAATATTTCTTCCAACACAAGATCTGGTGCGAAGATGGAATATATGGGTCCACTCCTTCGGGTACCTCCCCCACAATGGGTCAAAATTTCGAATAACTAAAATGCTCATAATATGCGAAAGAAGCATCCGATTCCATTCAAACTCGGCACAACCAAATTTTCCTGTCAACACAAGATCTGGTGTAAAGATGGAATGTATCGGTCCACTCGCTCTGGTAGCTCCCCCACAGCGGGTCAAAATTTTTGAATAATTATAACCCTCTTAAAATGCGATATAAGCATCTGATTCTTTCTAAGCTTCACAAATCCAAATAAATCTTTGAATACAAGATCTGGTGTAAAGATGGTAGGTATCGGTCCACTCCTTCTGGTACCTCCCCCACAAAGGGGTCAAAATTATGAATAACTAAAATGCTCATAAAATGCGATATAAACATTCGATTCTCTTCAAATTCCATCTTCACACCAGATATATTTCCACTAACACTATATCTGGTGTGAAGATGGAATATATCGGTTCTCTCTTTCTGGTACCTCCCCCACAATCGGGCCAACATTTTGAATAATCAAAATGTTCATAGAATGCGAAATAAGAGTTCGGCTGTCTTTAAATTTCATATATCTTAATATTTCATCAAACACCAATTTAGGTGTGAATATGGAATATATGGGTTCACTCCTTCTGGTACCTCCCCCACAAAGGGGTCAAAATTTTTAAATAACTAAAATATTCATAAAACGCGAAATTTTCACCCGATTCCATTCAAACTCGGTACAACAAAATTTTCGTGTCAACACAAGATCTGGTGTAAAGATGGAATGTATCGGTCCACTCGCTCTGGTAGCTCCCCCACAAAGGGGTCAAAATTTTGAATAATCAAAATGCTCATAAAATGCGAAATGTTCATCCGATTCCATTCAAACTTGGACCATGTTAATATTACTATCAGCACAAGATCTGGTATAAAAGTGGTAATTATCGATCCACTCCTTCTGGTACCTCCCCTACAAAGGGGTCAAAATTTTGAATAATTAAAATGCTCATAAAATATGATATAAGCATCCGATTACTTTCAAATTTTGCAAATCTTAATATTTCATACAACACAAGAGCTGGTGTAAAGATGGTAGGTATCGGTCCACTCCTTCTGGTACCTCCCCCACAGAGGTGTCAAAATTTTGAATAACTAAAATGCTCATAAAATGCGAAATAAACATTCGATTCTCTTCAAATTGTCCACATTCCAATACTTCCACTAACACTATATCTGGTGTGAAGATGGAATATATCGGCCCACTCCTTCTGGTACCTCCCTCACAAAGGGGTCAAAATTTTGAATAATTATAACTCTTATAAAACCTGAAATAAGAGTCCGACTGTGTTTAAATTTCACACACCTCAATATTTCTATTGACACAAAATCTGGTGTAAATATAGTAGACAGCGGTTCACTCCTTCTGGTACCTTCCCCACAAAGGGGTCAAAATTTTGAATAATTATAACCCTCATAAAATGCAAAATAATAATCCGAGTACTTTCAAATTTCACACACCTGAATATTTCATGCAACACAAGACCTGTTGTAAAGATGAAATATATCGGCCCACTCCTTCTGGTACCTCCCTCACAACGGGTCAAAATTTTTGAATAATTACAACCCTCATAAAATGGGGAAAAAAGCATCCGATTCTTTTAAAATTTTACACATCCCCATATTTCATCGAACACAAAATCTGTTGTGAAGATGGTAGATATCGGTCCTCTCCTTCTGGTACCTTCCACCCAAAGACATATATCTAAATGTTCAAAAAATGCGACAAAAAACGGCTACTTTTCTTTTAAATATTTTTATTATTTATTTTACTTTTAGTTTGTGATATATTTTTGCGGCCTTCGTATATGACCTTGAAAAAAATCTCTGTTATAGGGTCACGATACAACCACCTCGTCCATTACCTTTGCCATATATTTGCTCTCACGACATGTGGACATACAACAAAAAGTCTTGGAGGAACAATGCCGAATAATGGCGGGAAATCTGAAAGGCAATGCCACGCTGCAGGATTTAAATGAGATGAAATATTTGGATTGCGTTATCAAGGAATCCATGCGGATATATCCACCGGTGCTCTTTTTTGGCAGAAATGTCGAGAAGGAATACAATATGAGTAAGATACAGAGAGAGAGAGAGCGAAACTCTAAATCAGGGCTACGCAAGAGAAGTTAAGCGAGATATGTAATTAATGAAACACATATATTTCTATACCCTCCACCATAGTATGGAGGGTATATTAAGTTTGTCATTCCGTTTGTAACACCTCGAAATATATATTTTAGATCCCACAAGGTATATATATTCTCGATCAGCATGAAATTCTATGTCGATTTAGCGATGTCCGTCCGTCTCTGGAAATCACTCTAGCTTCCGCACGAAATGAAAAATTAACTCAAAATTGATAAAAATTAACTCAAATATATATTATGTCTGCAGGAATTTTGGTATTAAAAACGGGCCATGTAGGTCTACATTTTGGTATAGCCCCCATAAAATAGGTACCTCCCTATATTCGGTATTTTGGTGATTTTAGCGACATTATTCAACGGATTTGATTCAAATTTGGTATTTCAAGTTCGCAATGGATACTATAGCATAAGAGAGAATATTGTCTGTGCAGGTCCACGTCTTCGTATAGTCCCCATATAACGGTACCTCCCGATATTCGATATTTGGACGATTTTAGCGACATTATTAACCGAAATTGATTCAAATTTTGTATTTAAATTTCTTAATAGGTGCTACAATCTCTGACAGAAAATTGTCTGTGCAGGTCCACACCTTCGTGTAGTCCCCATATAACGTTACCTCCCGATATTTGGTATTTTGATGATTCTAGCGACATTATTCGCCAGAATTGTTTCAAATTTGGTATTTGAAGTTCCGTATAGACACTACAGCCTGTGACAGAAAATTGTCTATACAGGTCCACGTCTTCGTATAGCCCCCATATAACGGTACCTCCCGATATTCGGTATTTAGGTGATTTAAGCGACCTTATTCACCGGAATTGTTTCAAATTTGGTATTTCAAGTTCTTAATGAATACTACAGCCTATGACAGAAAATTGTCTGTGCAGGTCCACGTCTTCCTATAGCCCCCATACCAAGGCACCTCCCGATATTCGGTATTTTGATGATTTTAGCGATTTTATCTACCAGAATTGTTTCAAATTTGGTATTTGAAGTTCGTAATGGATATCACAGCCTGTGACGAAAAATTGTCTGTGCAGGTCCACGTCTTCGTATAGCCCCCATATGACGGTACCTCCCGATATTCTCTATTTTTATGATTTTAGCGACATTATTAACCGGAATTGTTTCAAATTTGGTATTCGAAGTTCCTAATAGGTGCTACAGCCTTTGATAGAAATCCGAGATAATCGGTCAAAATTTAGACTTAGCTCCCATACATGCCTTCAACAGATTTCTGGTTAATTGTTCACCAAATGGCCAATATCAGTCCAAATTATCTGTATTTTGGCACATCCGACCGAATTCAGTGTAGAAGTAAGTACATCAAATTTGGTGAAAATCGGTTCAGATATAGCCATAGCTCCCACGTATATGTTTTATCCGATTTGGGGTTTAAAGTCCCTCACATTCGTAATATGCATTCGAAAACAATGATATTTGATACCAGATATCTTATAGAGCTCGGAAATTCCTTTGCCAAATTTTATGGAGATCGGCTAAGGTTTGGATATAGCTCCCATATATGTCCTTGATCCGATTTCAGGTTTATTTTGCCAAGACCAATGTCAACCCAAATGGAAGGAATTTCTGGACGTATATCTCCATTTTCTGGAACTCAGCTCGGATACATTTGTTTTTAATATAATCCTTCTCGAAGTGATATCTACACTCTAATTTAAATTTAGTGAAAATCGTTTCAGAATTGGATATGCCTCCCATTTATTAGTTCTCTCTGAAACCAAATTATATCTGCTCTAAAACCAAATGTTGATAGGGGTTATGATCTACTTCAAATAAATTCTTTTGTTACGGGAGCTCTACTAAATATCCATAGTGGTGTAGGGTATCATATAGTCGGTCCCGCTCAACTTTTGACTTTTCCTTACTGGTTTGGTCTGCGGTTGCTTATTATTTTATATTTCCCTACTAATTTTCCCAGATTTAATCAAACTCCTATTCGACTCATTTTATATATCTTCTGCCATAATTTTTCGCTCCCCACCCTATTTTCTCCAAATTATTCATCCATTCTTGTATTTCTTTCACATGTCGTCTTGTGGCCTTTTCAACAGCTGCCAGGGAAAGAAAATAAAAATTCAACCGAGAAGCCAGTGGGGGAAGGTCGTGTATACGACTGATTTAACCAACAATGTAATCAGAGAGCAACGAAATAAAGAGAACATAAATGTACGGCTCTCTGCCCGGCCCTGCTTTAAATATTAAAATAATGTAAACAGAGAGTAACCAAAAAAAGAGAACATAAATATGCGACTCTCTGCCCAGGACTGCTTCTCATTTCAAAAATATCTCTCCCCCTTTCTCCCTCTCTTCCAGATGGCAAAACCATACCAGCCCACACCTCACTGCTCATATTCGTCATAGCAATGAACTATAACGAAGCCATCTATCCGGATCCATATCGTTTCGATCCGCAACGATTTGATGCCGACCAACGTATGACCACACAAAATCCCTTTGAATATGTGCCATTTGGCGGTGGCCAACGTAACTGTATTGGACAAAAATTCGCCATGCTCGAAGTGAAGACAGTCATCTCCAAGATTGTTAGAAATTTCCAAATATTAGCCCCCGAAGATGGCCTAGAATCGAAAGATGGTTACATTAGTACACTCTATGGGCCACAGCGAGCACGGGCGCCCAAACCCGATAAATATGTGCCGACATTATTACATGCCATTACGCTGAGAGCGGAAAGTGGCTTACATTTGCGTTTAAGGGAGAGGAAGTAAAGAAGAAAATATTTATTTTTTTTCAATAAAGGAAAGTGGAAAATTTTGAAAAAAAATATTTTTCAGTCGGTCTAGTAGTTTTTTTTTTAAATTTGAAAAACTATTTTTGTTCCAGAATAATTTTGTTGTAAAATTTAATATATATATATGTGTTATGCCAAAAAGTTATGCTTAAAAGAGGCAAATATTTAAGAAGAGCAGGTTTTTTTGGGAAAAAATGTTTTAAAAAATATTTTAAAAAAATGTTTAAAAAAATATTTTTAACAAATATTTTACAAAAAAATATATATATTTTTTTAAACTCGAAAAAATATATATTTAAATCCACACTGTGTTGATAATTTTGAATATTCTAAGAGAATGAAATTATACCCATTATTTCCGTGATTTGATAAGGTTATTAAAGAAAAAATTATTTTTAAAAAATCCAAATTTATAGGGTTTTTTTTGGGAAAAGATGTTTTAAAAAATATTTAAAAAAAATGTTTCAAAAACATTAAAAAAATATATATTTTTTTTAAATTCGAAAAAAATTTTATTTAAATCCACACTGTGTTGATAATTTTGAATATTCTAAGAGAAAGAAATTATACCCATTATTTCCATCATTTGATTAGGTTTTTAAAGAAAAAATTATTTTTAAAAAATCCAAATTTATAGGGTTTTTTTTTGGGAAAAAAAATGTTTAAAAAATATTTTAAAAAAATTGTTTTTTTTTTTTTTAATTCGAAACAATATATATTTAAATCTACACTGTGTTGATAATTTTGAATATTCTAAGAGAAAGAAATTATACCCATTATTTCCATGATTTGATTTTTAAAGAAAAAATTATTTTTAAAAATCCAAACTTATAGGGTTTTTTTGGGAAAATGTTTTAAAAAAATTAAAAAAAAAAAATTTTAAAAATATTTTAAATTCGAAAAAATATATATTTAAATCCACACTGTGTTGATAATTTTGAATATTCTAAGAGAAAGAAATTATACCCATTATTTCCATGATTTGATTAGGTTTTTAAAGAAAAAATTATTTTTAAAAATCCAAATTTATAGGGTTTTTTTGGGAAAAAATGTTTTAAAAAAATATTTTAAAAAATATTTTTAGTATTTTAATTTTTAAAAAATATTAAAATTTTTTTTTTTAAATTCGAAAAAATTTGAAAAAGGGTCCTTGGAAAAAATTATTTTTAAAGTTCACATTTTTTTTAAATATTTTTTTAAAATATTGCAAAAAAATATTTTTTTAATTTTTTTTTCAAAAAACCCTAGAAATTTATTGTGCCCTATATTTTTTTTTTCAAAAAACCCTAGAAATTAGGTTTTTTGAAAAAAATATATTTTTTCAATATTTTGAAAAATATTTAAAAAAATATATTTTTTTTAACATTTAAAAACCAAATATTTTTTTAAAAAAAATTCAAAAAAATTAAATTAAAATTAGAAATTATACCCATTATTTCCATGATTTGATTAAGTTTTTAAGGAAAAAAATTTTTTTTTAAAGCCCAAAAAAAATTTTAAAATGTTTTTAAAATATTTTAAAAAAATGTATTTTTTGTAATATTTAAAAAAAATATTTTTTTTTTAAAAAATCGAAAAAATATATTTTTAAATCCACATTGCATTGATAATTTTGAATATTTTTTTCCTCCATTAAGTCATCATCATATCCCTAATACCCTCAACATTCCAGTCCGGGATTTGAAAAAGGGTGCTTGGAAAAATTATTTTCAAAAGTTCACATTTTCACATTTTTTTTTTTAAATATTTTTTTTAAAATATTGGAAAAAAATTTTTTTTTTAATATTTTTTTTTTTAATATTTTTTTTCCAAAAAGCCCTAGAAATTTATTGTGCACTATATGTTTTTCCAAAAAACCCTAAAAATTAGGTTTGTTAAAAAGAAAATATTTTAAAAAAATATTTAAAAAATATTTTTTTTAACGGTAAAAAACAAATATTTTTTTTTTTAAATTCGAAAAAAATATATTTTTAAATCCACACTGTATTGATAATTTTGAATATTTTTTTCCTCGATTAAGTCATCATCATATCCCTAATCCCCTGAAGTTTTCAGTCCAAGATTTGAAAAAGGGTCCGTGGAAAAAATTATTTTTAAAGTTCACATTTTAGAAAAAAAGGAAATATTTTTTAAAAAATATTTTTTTTAAATTCACTTTCTTTGGGAGATCGAAAAAAATCATTTAAGTCTACACTGTGTTGCTAATTTTCAGTTTTTTTTTTCATCTCGATTAAGTCATCACCATTATTTCCGCAGTGCCCCCAACTATTCAGCCCGGCTGTTACAAAGCTTCCGCAAAAAAAAGCAAAAACAATTGCCTTATTAACGCACATTATATAAATCATTGTAACATATTATTGCAGCAGTTAATCTGTTCACAGTTTAGCAACAATTCATAACGGATAATTGGCTTGTTTCGAATGGACGCGTGTTGCGAATTTTAATAAATTAAAAAAAAATCTAAACATGTTTTTGTTATTACTGGCCTTTGCGGCTGTCTCGCTTGTAATCTACAAAGAGTTGTGGCGCTGCAGGATGCAACAAAAAATGGGGCATACTCAAGGACCCAGAATGCTGCCTGTGGTGGGAAATGGTCATCAGTTGGGAAAAAGTCCAGAAGGTAAAGTTTTGGAAGAATTGTTTTTTTTTTTAAGTCAAAGTATCCAATTTTGCAATTTCCTTAAAAAAATGTTAATTACATTTTAGAAAAAATTTATATTTTTAAAAAAGTCCGATGCATGATATTCCTCAAAAAAATTCGTTTAATCCACCTTCGATGTCTGAAGATCCATAAAACAATATTCCTTGAAAAATCCAGGTTTGAAGTCCCTGGGAATACATTTTTTTAACTCCGATTTCCAGAATTTCAAAAAAATATTTTCATAAATTCTCAAATTTTTTTGGGTTTAGGACCCTTTAAAATGTATTCCCTTAAAAATTCAGGATTGAAAGTCCTCGAATTTTTTGTTAAAATTCCAAATTTGTTGGTCTGAGAATACTCAAAAAAATATTCCTTTAAAAAAATCCAGAGGGTCTTTGAAAAAAATAAGTTTTTTAAGTTAAAGATCCTTTGAGGTTCCTAAAAAATATTGTTGGAGATACATTCCCATAATTTTGTTGGAAAATAATCATTCAAATTCATGGTTTGCGGGTCTGATGGGCCTTGAAATATATCCATCAAAAATCGGCCTGAAATATTTTTTTTCAAAATATCCTTTTTGGGTTGAGGGACCTAATTTTATATTTCCCTTCTTTTTTTTTCCAAATCTGCTCAATTTCTTGTAAAGAACTGTGAAATTAGGGAAATATAAAATAATAAGAGGCTTCCGACCAAAAAATCATTACTTGAAAAAAATAGTTTCAGTAGAAAATTACTTTTTATTTATTTATTACTTTACCTAAAATAAAAAATTCTTCAAAAATCCATTTTTTTGGTCTAAGGGTCTTTAATATTTTATATTTCCCTTCACCTTTTTCCAGAACTACTCAATTTCCTGCATAAATCTGGGAAAGGGGAAATATAAAAAAATAAGTAGGCCCCGACCAAAAAAGGGATTTTCTTAAACAAAATTTTGTTTCAGGAAAAAAAGTTCACATTTATTGGGTTGGAGATCCTTTGATGTCTAAGGGTCCTTGAAAAAATATTCCACGCTTATCTGTCTAAGATTCCTTTTGTTGGAAAATCAAAATCATTTAAAATCTAGGTTTAAGGGTCCTTGAAACCCATCTTCTAAAAATCGGCATGTTTCGCCCTGAAAAAATTCCCCTTAAAAAGTCCTTCTTTTTTGGTTTGAAGGACTCTCTTATTATATATTTCCATCCTCCATTTTTCTCTATAAATGTGGGAAAAAGGGGAATATAAAATAATAAGGGCTCTCAGACAAAAAAGGGGATTTTTTTAAGACATTTTGGTTTCAGGGGAAAGTTTGAAATTAAAGATCTTTTTAGGTTCTTGAAAAATACTCTTTAAGTTCTAACATTTTTTTACGTATGAAGGTCCTTGAAAAAATATTCCACGTTTGTCTATCTATGTTTCCTTTTTTTTTTTGGAAAAAAAAAACTTTCAAAATCAAGGTTATTAAAATTCGACCTACTTCAGCTTGAAATTAAAAAATTCCTCCAAAAATCCCTTTTTGGTTCTGAAGATCCCTGTTATTTTGTATTTCCTTATCTTTTTCCAGATCTACTCAATTTCCTCTTCGACTCATTTTATAAATACGGAAACTTTCAATTGTGGATCGGCTACTATCCCAATATTGTGATCACAGATAACAAGGATATTGAGGTAGGGTTAAGGAAAAGGGGTCCTTCGATTTTATGACTTCTCAATTTTTTTTACTTCTCAATTTTTTTATTTTTTTATTTTTATTTATTAAATTTTTTCTTGTTCCACCCCAGCACATCCTTTGCAGCAACAGCCTGACGGAAAAATCCGATATGTATGATGTCCTGCAGATATGGCTTGGAGAGGGTCTGGTCAACAGCAACGGCACGAAATGGCATCAGCGCCGCAAAATGATAACACCCTCGTTTCATTTTAAAATTTTACAAGATTTCCATGTTGTTATGAATTCAAATGCAGGGAAATTTATGGAAAAACTCAGGGCCAGAGCGGAGGGAGGTCGAATATTGGATTTTCAAAAAATGGTACACAATTTGACGCTGGACATTATGTGTGGTAAATGGGGAGGGAGGGTCAAAGATTAGAAATTTTTTAATATTATATTTGAAATATTTTCAGAGACGGCCATGGGTGTGCCCATCAATGCCATGGATAATCCCAATTCGAAATTTGTCAAGGCTTTGGATTTGTAAGTATCAGACGTTAGGGTGATCCAAAAAATAAATTTAAAAAACAAGAAAAAAACATAAAATCTTTCAGGATAGGCATTTAAAAAAATCTCAGCACACCCTAATGTTCGAATTTCTCGGCATATGAACATTAGGGTGTCTCAACAAAAAAATATTAAAAAAATCTGTTTTTTCATAAAATGAAATTTTTTTAACAATAT